GAAAGAGAGAGAGAGAGAGAGAGAGAGAGAGAGAGAGAGAGAGTTACGTCTTCCGGCCCGTGTCGGACCCTATATTCGCGTGGCGATTCAGAGCGCGATATAAAACGGCGAGCGTTTTATTGGCACGCCGTTAGGAACGAATTCGAACGTGCGTGGGGCGAGGCATGTTATGCGGCGGATATAAAACTACGGTGAAATCACGTTACAGCGAATCCCAGCGAATTGCGTGGCTTGTCGTGTCGTGTAGTCGCGCACGTTGTCCCGTCGCGTATATATCGAACAAACGGTACGTATAATACACTGCCGGGCACCGTCCGCGACATTGAAATCATGGCGTCTCGTTCAAATTGCGAGTCAACTCGTCATAACGGGATTTCACCGTGACGCAATTATATAACTGTCGCACGCACCTTTAACCGTCGTAGCACACAGCACGGCGAAGAAACAGGCCCAGGCGGTGGTGGTCGTCAGCATCATCTTGCGGCGGCTGGTAGCTTCTTCCGTGCACATCACACAAAAAAAACACTCGCGCAACTGACCGACGCCGATCGCGAATCCAGGCGTCTCGCGACCGCGGAGTAACACCAGAACTCGAACTCACCGAAATCGACGCGTGGCGGCTGTTAAGCTCGCGAATGATGCGCGTGCCCGCGATGTCGCGCGATATATCGTCGATGCGCGAACTCGGATTCGCCTACGAAATAATCGCCGTCGTAGTCGTTGTTGTTGTCTTCGTCGTCGTCGTCGTCGTCAAGATCGTCGATTCGCACACCGTGTCAAGTTCGTCAAGAGAGCGACCGGAGAGCTCGGCGCGCGAAGACCGTCTGACGCGGGCTTTACTTTCGGAGCGCTTCGTGAGACTTCGGCTGCCCGCCGAGATCGCCCGAACGCACCGCAGCGTCCCCCCTCCCGCCGCTCCCTACGCCGCGCGCTCGTCCGACCTAGCGAGAGATACACACCGTGTCTCTACCAACTTTCGTTCATAACCTTACGTACACGGTTACACGCCTACACACGACATACGCCTACATGCAACTACGAGATATTAAAGACCGACGGCCTCACGAGAGAGTCGCGTGACTGTTGATATTCGGGGCCATTAGCGAATTAACCTGATGATTTACCAATTCGCTGTTTAATCGTACGAGCTAAATAAACGTTTCGTGGATACGTTGTTGCGCTCGCGGTGGACGGCACGTCCATGCGGAAAAGAAAGTTTCGCTTGTGCAAGCGAATGGGGACCACGTGAAAAACTCACTCACGAGAGAGAGATAATATCTCCGTTACCGTAACCGGGAACATTCATCGGAGCATTCAGTTGTGTTGAAACTCGCTTGAGATAACTCGGAGCAATTGGACAAGTGGAGGTCTCCTGCAGGAATCCTTCCTGTAAGCGAGTTTTTCGTACGGTCCCCAGGCAACAGAAAATTCAGCCGCACTGACGGAGTTTTATTTCCATGCATCTTTCTTCAACAAGCTTCGCGAAGCCGATCTCACGGCACGGCTCTGGCCGTCTCGTCCGTTTTGACTCGCATACGCGCACACACGATGCAAGCTAAAATTGTTTGCATATTTTTAGGAACGAATTTCCATAGTTATCACGTGCGGATAATGTAATGATTCGACACTTTCGATACTCGTCTACGCGAGGGATGCTTTGATCGTGTAAAAAAGCGCCATAAACACGGAACAATCGCGAATTCGAGCCATTGCGCAAGGTGTTGCAATCACGTAATAACCAAATTTTCATCGCGACACACGTTTTTTAGACGAGCATTTAGTGGTTTCGATGAAATAATCACAACACTTGAAAGATTTTCTGACAATGTTTCGTTATGGCGAATATACAAGTCTTACCTTCTACGCGCTCGATGACGATAATTTAAGAACGCGAATCCAGTGAATCGAAAACGTCAAGGCACACTTCGACCGACACGATACAACAGTCGCGCAACACTCTCGACGGCTTGTTTCACGCGACATTCGCTTTCGACGATTTTCTAAACATCACAAACGCACAAGACTTACTTTCGGCATTTCTAGCGACAGTAGTTTGCGTCCGAGACCCGTCTACGGCGGGACTTAAAATCCCAAGGAATGCGGAGCATCCTTCTGAGTCGAAACGATGCTATGCAGGCCGTGACTAAACTGATTACGTTAATGGCGTCGTTGCATATTGCGATTCTCGAAGTATCAATACGCGTGATACTTCATACTGGCAACGCCCAGACACGTCCGCGAAATAAACACATGAGAGATTTTCTGCCAATGTTTTGTTACGGCGAACACGCGAGTCTTACATTTCATGTGCTCCATAACGATAAATTAAGAACGCGACTGCTACGGTGAGTCAAAAACGTAGAGGTCAAGGACATAATCCGATCGACATGACAATTGCACGACACTTTGCTCGACACTTCCAACGGCTCGTTTCACGCGACATTCGATTCCAACGATTCTCTCGCCGTTACAAACACACAGGACTTAATTTCAGTACTTCTGACGACGATTGCTTGCGTCCAAGACTCTCCTGTAGTGAGTTAAAATCTTGAGAAGTACAGACCGTGCCGAAACGACGCCGTGCGAGCCCGTACCTAAATTAAGAGAAAGAAAATAAGAACTCAATAACAATGATATCAGTTAAATAATAGGAAAAAGGGCTAATTCGAGTTCAAGCATAGGATTAATAGTGCTATGTATTATATGGGTAAAACCTTCCTTATGTTAGGAAATAGAGCAATATTTATTGAACATGAATACTCAATATAAATAATCAAACGTTTCGGCTCAATCATAAAAAAAAAATTCTCTTCAATGATATAAAAACTCAAATTCTCTTCAATGATATAAAAACTCAAATTCTCTTCAATGATATAAAAACTCAAGGTTTACAAAACGAACGCATTACAAGTAAAAGAATTAATTAAAGACCTTAATAAAATGACATGAATGTTATTCGCAGTATTATAGCTGACAAGACCGTTACCCGACCAATATTAAGAAGTTCAAATTAATACTAGGAAGTAGCCGTCATAACTATAAAAAACCATAAAATAAAATAAAAATAGGTAAGATTAAAATATAATAAATAATTAAAACAGTCAATATAAATTACCTTTGTTGAGCTCGGCTAAAAGTGAAACGATCCTGTCAATGTTAATGCTCGTGTATATAAATCTGTTATTATTTCTATTACTTAGACGTGGCGTTGACAGGATCGTTTCACTTTTAGCCGAGCTCAACAAAGGTAATTTATATTGACTGTTTTAATTATTTATTATATTTTAATCTTACCTATTTTTATTTTATTTTATGGTTTTTTATAGTTATGACGGCTACTTCCTAGTATTAATTTGAACTTCTTAATATTGGTCGGGTAACGGTCTTGTCAGCTATAATACTGCGAATAACATTCATGTCATTTTATTAAGGTCTTTAATTAATTCTTTTACTTGTAATGCGTTCGTTTTGTAAACCTTGAGTTTTTATATCACTGAAGAGGGTTCATGATTGAGCCAAAAGTGAGAGTGTTTGAGTTTGATTATTTATATTGAGTATTCATGTTCAATGAATATTGCTCTATTTCCTAACACAAGGAAGGTTTTACCCATATGATACATAGCACTATTAATCCTGTGCTTGAACTCGAATTAGCCCTTTTTTCCGTATCTAAACTTACTATGCTAGTGACGCCGATGCATACTATGATCACGTAGTATCAATAGTAGTGCAACTCTTCACGCGCGATACTGCCAACCATGCGGACACGTCTGTCCGCAAATATAAGAAAGAAAAACAGATATTTGATGAAAAGAACATTACGATGGAGTCGTTGCAAACATATCGATATTTATTATTTTATCAAGCAGTGGGTTAGTTAACATTGCTTGCACTTTTGACACTTTTGCACTTAATTGTGCCCGTTGCACATCAGACGTAATGAACGAGATCCAATGAGAGCTCTTTATTCTAAAAAGAGGTTCAGTGTCAAAAGTACAAGCAACGTGTACACACTAGTATCAACTGCATGGATAATTATGAAAAGAAATACAGTGAATCAGTTTGTATTCGAAATTCGCTTTCTTTCATTTCTCGTGAGATTACGGCTTGTCAAAAGTAAGTCTTGTACGTAAATTATCGCCATCGGAAGTGCCGAAAGTAATTGTCGTGTGTTTGTTGCCGCGAAATACCGTTAAGCAGTTGCCGAAAATAAATATCTTGCGAAACAGGTTATCGAGAGTGACAAGTAAAGTGTAGTACATTCGCTGCGTCATGATAATTACCAATCGTTAACCCTTACGTGTTCGTTTCGCCGAAGAACGCTATCGCACGCGAATTACCGTCGTCAGGAATGTCGAAAGTAAGTCACGCGCAACTGTCGTGGCAATACGTTGTTAAAAAAGCTCCAAGTGCATACTTCGCGAGCAAACGTGTTTGGCCAGTCGGAAGTACCGCGAGAAGTGTCGCACGTATTCATATTTCGAAAATCGCAGTATGTACGTATGCTATTAGCATTAGGATAGTCATGAACTGCACAATATTGTTTTGGGAGACCCTCCGCATTTTTCAGGATTTTAGTCTACCCTATTGATAAAATAATTAAAATTTTTTGGTATTTGTATCCACAATAGAGAAATCAGTACCATAAATTATAATCAAGAAAATCAGTTTCTTATTAAATTCTATCATAATGTTGGTGATGACAACCTTATACGCTACTACTACTACTACTACTACTGCTACTACTTTCGTGTTAGGAAAACCAAAAAAACAGGTTGAGGCGAAACCAACTGTAATTTTAGGTTAGATCAAACGTTCCCTTTTCCCAGCATTTAAACGGATCTGAAGCGCAAGAAAAGCCGAATGTATGTTCGCCGTAACAAAACATTGTCAGAAAATATCTCAAGTATTTATCTCGCAGGCAGACGTGTCCGCATAATTGGCAGTATCGCGTGAAGAGTTGCACATATTGATACTTCGTGATCACAGCATGCACCGGCGCCACTAACAGTCAGGCTAGGTACGGGCTCGCACGGCGTCGTCTCGAAGGCGTTCTGTATTTCTTAAGATTTTAATTCACTATAGAGGAGTCTCGGACGTAAGTAATCGTCGTCAGGTGTACCGAAAGTAAGTCCCGTGTGTTTGTAACGACGAGAGAATCGTCGGAATCGAATGTCGCGTAAAACAAGCCGCCGGGAGTGTTGAGCCAAGTGTCGCGCGATTGTCGTGTCGATCGGATTATGTCCTTGACCTCTACGTTTTCGATTCACTGGAAGAGTCGCGTTCTTAATTTATCGTTATCGAGTGCATGAAATGTAAGACTCGCGTGTTCGCGAGACAAAACATTGTCAGAAAATCTGTCATGTATTTATCTCGCAGGTAGATGTCCGGGCGTTGCCAGTATCGTGTGAAGTGTCACGCGTATTGATATTTCGAGAATCGCAATATGCAACGACGCCATTAACGTAATCAGTTTAGTCATGGCCTGCACGGCGTCGTTTCGGCTCAGAAGGGCGCTCCACATGGATCTTTGGGATCTTAAGTCGCCGTAGACAGATTTCGGACACAAACTATTGTCGTTAGGAATGCCGAAAGTAAGATATATAAACTTAATGAAATATTGGAAATACAAGTCACATTTTGTCGAGTGTATTTTTCTGTCTGTCGCGAGTTATCGTTATTAGACGTATCGAAAATAAATTTCATACGTTCGTGTAACTAAACACATCGTAGCAAAAAAGCACAGAAGTAAACTTGCGCGGCGCGAGTAACTGAGAGAGTCAAGTAAAGGTTGGGTGTACCGAAGTCTCGTACGAGACTCAGAGCCGTTATGTGTACGCG